ACCAGTTTCATTGAATATTTTATTTATTTTATTTACCGTACCGCAGCTAATACGAGGACGATCTGGATGTCTCTCATTAAATACTCTACAAACCTCTCTAGCACTTCTAACGTCATCTCCCGAAAGGCGTACAATTTCAATTTTCTCACTTACCCTCAATCTTGCAGCCATGACACAAAATAATTCGAAGAACTGTAGGGTGAATATTGTTGACAATAGTACACTTAAATCTTTCACAAGTGTCAAACTGTAATATCATTTCCATGGCAAGAAAAAATATCGTAGTATGCCCTAAAACTTTAATAAATATTTCAAATTTTGTCCCAAAGCAGACCTTTTAGTACTTGACATTTAAAAATAAAATTATTAAAATCGGTTTACAACTTCAAATTTTAGGGGGGTGTTTACATTAAAAATGGGTCACACTGTATGAGGAAGATTTTTTCTGTCGCCATGTCACAATAATAGTTCAATAACGACCTACATTTTTTTCTGTTAATTGATATTTGTAGGTAATTTTATGTAGGAGAAATTTCTGCTTATATTTGAAGTCTCAAAGACACTACTGGTGAATACTCTTAGGAAAACAAAAGTAAAAATTCATTGGCAATTCCCCTTATTTCATCAAAGATGCGGAAAAGATTTGCAATCTGGTTGAAAGTGGCTCCTTTGACGTACAATTCTTGGAACATGCTGCATCAGAGTGGGTTATAATTCAGAATGTTTATTCTCTTGGGAAAATAAGTATTACTCCAATTCCGAAACTGCAAAAGCAACTAACTTTGCTCAAAATGTGGTCTGAATTCGTTATATTAGGCTCATGATTTGTTTTAGAGTCGTTTATGAAACTGTTGAAAAGTTGAAAGAAATATTGGAAATTTCAATACTTCAATTTGACTATATTCAAAATAATATTCCACATGTGAAGTGGAAAATAAAATTCAGCATGAAATACAGAAAGAAAGTCGTATAAATAAATAAAGTTTGTAGCACATGTTTATGAGAGAAAATGGAAATTGAGTAACATTGTAGATATAAATAGCATGCAAATTTTCCAAGACCATAAATTAACAAAATAAAAATAGTTGAGTAATTTAAATATTTATAAATTGTTTTTATCAGTCACTTCGATAAAATTAAGTCGCTGTCCTTCTCTTAAAAGCTCTAACCATAAACCAATTGAGGTCCGAATTCAGAAGTTTCGTTCGTTTCAATGTCATGTGCTTTTGTAGAATTTTGTGCTCTACACATTGATGCTGTTCAGTTTATCAAAATTTCGCTGCCGAAACAGTCCAAAAAATCCACCAGTCTTCGTTCCAAAGATTTCAGCCTCGAAGTTGAAACCCGAAGTGGTCGAGCTACAGTAATCAAGGACAAGAATTTGGTAACCCTGAAGACTGGACCATCACAATGGTTTTTGAAGATTCATGACGTATTATAAAGGTCAAAAACCTTGAAAATTGTGTTTTTCTCTGCTTTTACGCAACTGAAACGTAAATAACTTATTTGAAGGGCAATTTCATGTATTGCTGTAGATTATTTTCAGAATTATCTTCTGTAAAATGTCTGGTTGGTTTATATAGAATTGAACTACACCACGCCAACTGAGAATAACGTATTGTATTTAATGTTTTAATCATATTTGCCAATGCGAATCTGATATTTAGGTTATTATCAGAATATCAGAATTCTTATGTTATTTAATACGATTTTTCAACGGTGAAAGAACTAAAGCCTAAAAATTGTGTATTCATTTATATTCATTCTCTATAGATATGATTACAATTTGTCAAAATCATCCTAAACTCCGCCAATGAGACTTTCAAAGAATTTCATATCAAGTATGTGCTCGATTTCCATTACATTTTACGACTTATATCATTATTTGCCAACGATATAAGACAATCACAAGACCAAACACGTTTCAGAGTTATTATTTCTTGGAGACCTGTCAATACACAATTCCATCATCAAGCTAATAAAATTGCGATTGTTCTGAGAAAAATGCATCCCAGTTCATGAATGAGGGGTGAGTAAAAATAAAAATGCCGATAGTAATGAATTTCATATACTTTCTGTCCGACGTACTACTTTCGAATATTCAAATTTGATTAAAAAAACACAGAGAATTCAGAGAAACAACCAAAAAATTTTAAGATATTATAGTTCAATTTCATTGTATCTGGTGAATCGGAAACATTTTCAGCATTGGTTTTCACAAACTTCCACGGTACACATTCGAGATGAGTATAAAACAGTGAATAAATGAATAATTTCAGTTTCCATTCAAAACATTGAAATTACCAGCGGGAATAAAATGAACCTAGTTTTCCAGTTATATAAAATAAAATATGGTGTTTTTAATTTATATCAATGATTTCGGGGTTGATTTCTTGTTATAGTTTATGTTGAAAAATTCCTATGCACGCATGTTCAATTATCATATCTTCATCGATGGTTATGACATAAAATGTCCTTATTTTTATTAAAATACACAGTGGTTTATAAAAACCAGTTTAGAGATCATAAATCTACAAAAAAGTTCAGAGGGGTTAACAGAAATTTTTCTTGAAAAAAGTGGTTTTTTTGCTTGCCGGTAGAAGTAAAATTTTCCGAAAACATAGACTAGTTCAATTCGGACACTGATCCCTTGAATATATTATGTGAACACAAAGAAATAGGAGAGGACCAGAACTCTTATTGTTTTTGTTGTTATTTCATTCAGTATTCTATACCAGGGGTCTCCAAACTTTGAAGCCTTCGGGCCATAATGATTTTTTCAGTTTGTTCCAAGGGCCAATTTCTACCCTCAACTATATTCCTAGACTAGGATAGTCGCAAACTTACGCTTTTTTTGCATTTCAATTATTATTGTGTATTGCGACACTTAACGACATCTAGTGGCGAGTAGTGGTACTATGTACTATCTTTTTCAGCTACCCGTTAGGTGGCATTAGGCGTAATTAAATATTTGGAATTACCGTGTTGGTTGGAGAAAGTTCTGGTTCTAGCTAGTGTATTCCGATCACCTCAAAATGGCAGAAATAATTGCATATAAAAAGGCTAGCGGCGCAACTGCGAGTTAGTCTGCGTAGGAAAGGCGAAGGAAGCGAAACTGTCTATTGTGAAATATAGTAACACCCGTCGATAAAAGTATTTTGATTTGACTTATTGTTTTTATGTGTGATTTGTTAGTATGGAAAAGAAGCGAAAAATCGACAGTGAATGCAGAACGTTCCCAGAAAAATGGAACTTTCAGTATTTTGTGATTGAGTCCAGTAATAAGGCGCTATGTTTAATTTATAATACCACCATAACTGTTTTCAAAGACTAACATTAAACGACACTGAATCGAAACATCTTCAAAGTTACTCCAAGTATACAGGAAGTTTTTGGAAAGAAAGCTTGAAGCTTTGGAACGCGGACTCAAATCGCAGCAATCTTTATTTATCAAAGCGAATACTGAACAAGAGTCTGCAACTCGCGCCAGCTTTCGTGTGGCTCTTGAAATCGGAAAACGTGGCAAACCATTCACCGATGGAGAAATGATAAAAGAATGCTTGATTGCAGTAGCCGGAGAAATATGCCCCGAAAAGGTAAATTTATTTAAAAGTGTCAGTTTGTCAGCAAACACCGTGGCTCGGAGGATGCAAGACATCGCAGAAAATATATCATCTCAACTGTCTGACAAAAATGGACATCATGAGTGGTTTTCTCTAGCATTGGATGAGTCAACGGATGTGTCAGATACTGCTCAGGTGTTGATTTTAATTCGCGGAGTAGATAAAAGCTATGAAGTGTATGAAGAACTTCTTGATATTGATAGTATTCACGGCACGACAACTGAGGCAGATATTTTTAAGGGAGTTGAAAATGCCTTTAATAAAAAGAACCTTCGATGGAGAAATTTGAAATCTATAACAACTGATGGAGGCAAAAATATGTATGGTAAAAATAAAGGAGTGGTTGCGCTTGTGTCAAAGGCTATAGAAAATGATGGTGGTTCAAAACCATTAGTCTAACATTGTATCATTCATCAACAGTCCTTGTGCAGAAAATGTTTGGATATGTCTGAAGTTCTAAAACCAGTCATATCAGTTGTTAACTTCATCAGATCCACTGGGCTGAATCACCGACAGATTCAACAGATTGGAGAAAATGATTTACCATATCATACAGCCGTACGCTGGCTTAGTTGCGGAAAGTCGAAATTTTTTTAAGTGAGAAGCAGCACCCATTTGCCGATTTAGAAAATGGTGAATGGATGTGGAAGTTAGCCTTCTTTGTCGATTTGACAAATCTTATAAACAAACTGAATTTGAGATTGCAAGGAGAAAATCAGCTTCTCCCTGATTTATACACCAATGTGAAATCCTTCAGGCAGAAAATAATACTATTTCAATCGCAATTACTTAAAAAATGTTTCACACGCTTTGAAACATGTGAAATATTCAGCCACACTACAGAGACTGAATTTCCCGTCAATTTTGCAATCGAAA